AAGAGGGGGGGAGGCGGAGAGGGGGGGGGGGGGGGGGGGGGGGGGGAGACACTGGAAGGACAAGTCTAAGAAGCCGGCTCAGTGCATCAGGTGAGTCTACCTTTTTTTTTTTAACAAACGCAAACGAGCACTTAACCCCCCGCACTGCAAGGGTTAATAGAATTTTTTTCTGGAGTTCTTTAAATATAGCCTTCCCATTTTAATGATACACCTTATATTAGCTTCAGTAATGTCATCACTGAGTTTCTGTGCTTTTCTATGCAATGTAGGCAGCTTATGGCTGGCAGGATGGGCCGCCAGGGTGCTGAACATGGCTTCCTGAAAACATCACAGTACCCTGCTCCAGTACTACTATCAAGAGCCCTCAGCCTTGATGTAAGCAGTGAGCTCTTTTGAGTAGTTATGCAAATATCATAAGGCCTTGTTGGGCGGGTGTGAGTCAGGAGGAGTGGGCTTTCATAGGCAGTGCCCACGTGTGAAGCTGAGCATTCATAATTGAAAGAACTGAAATCCAATGCAAGAAAGAGGCGAGCCAGAGACAAACAAGACTGGAGAGAAACGAGTTAGGATGATGCTAGACATGCTCCAGGCCAGAAAATGATGCAGGTTCTATCTGACTTGCTGCAGCTTCTAATACACATTGTGTGAAGTGAAATCAGAGTAGGTAATTTTGGTACAGGAGAAGAGCCTGTACAACTGTGCAAGACTAAAGGGAAGGTTGGAGTTATGTCTTAAGCGCAGTCTGCATTGATCTGAGTACTAGTGTAATGACTAGTTACAAATAACAGACTTGAATGGAATGTGCAAACACTGACGTGAACAAACAGAAAACATTATTAGAATAAAACCTGGTGTTTACCTGTACCTTCAATGTCTCCCCCTGCAGGGAGCTGTCACTGTCATCATTCTCATCAGGTTTGATTAAGACAGTGTTACTAAGGAGGTGATTCTGTACAGCCATCAGATAACGCAGGCATGGAGAGGCAACCTTAAACACAGAAAGAGTTTTTTCATAAGAACAAAGTCAGGATTACACTGTTAACCTCTGGAGCCAGTTCAGAGAAATAGAAGTAAAAGACCTAGCAATCATAAATTGGAGTTTAAAAAAAATAATAATTCTACTTTTGTATGTATGTTTGGAAAACAGATGACAATTTTTGGACATGAGAGTGAGGTGGGCTTTGATCTTACAGGCACAGTTGATAAGAGTCTTTGGAAATCTTCTTTTGACACACTTTGGCACTTGGTGATCAGAATGCAAGATTCACGAACAACAATCTTCAAAATATAGTGCAATAGTTCATCATTTAGTCTAGAGAAAAATACAAGAAAACTTAGTGAAATGCTGCAAGAGTAGCAGGTGCTAACACGAGGAGGAAAAAACAATTGGTGAAAGAATAACTACGGGGGCAAAATTGTTCTTAAGCCAGGCAGTGATCATTTTCGTCTAGGTTCAAAAATAAATAAAAGGACGCTCTACTCAGCAGAACCACTGAGCTGGCTGCCTGCTTCTCTGGTCTCTGAAGCCTCTGTCTTTCCATGCTCCAGTATTGGAATGTTCCCCAGCGTCCTCACACCTATACACTGTGCATAGAATGTAATGATTTATGGGACCTCAGACTGCTGCAGAGGAGGTGGGGAGAGGCTCTAGGGACTGGTCTAAGCCTGCTAATAGGATCAGGTGAGTATAACTTTTTTTTTTTTAGAACCTAGACAAAAACGAGCACTTAACCCTTGCAATGCAGGGGCAGCCCCATTGTAAGGTTAATAAAAATTCTGCCCAGAGTTCTGCTTTAAGGATGACCGTAGACTGGCAGATGTCCATTAAGAAAACCATCAAACCACTAGAGCCAGGCATAAGTCTCACCCCCTGGTAACAGTGGCAATGCTCTCCCCCCTTAAAGCCAATCTCCAAATATTTATTTGATTTGGAAGTGGGAGGAGTTAAAACTTCTTTTAGGTCTTCAATTCTGCCTGTGACCCAATAGGGGGGATTTTGTGGTCTCTCTGACATCTAAATAACTACATTTACCTGTAATGTTCGTCTTCATCGCTCCCAAATCTGTTATTTTGAAGTTGCTCAGTCAAGTTGGTTAAGATAACGTCTCGGAGCTGGGAAAGACCACAGTTTCTGTCACCTAGAAAACAATACCCACAAACATTATTATAATCTGCAATTAAGAAAGCCATAGAACGCTGTCCTCATTATAAGCAACAAGTAAAGCCATTGTTATGAAAATTAATATGAACTAATTTTAATAAGCTAAAAGCTATTGCTGAAATAATGGAAGGTCTTAAACACAAGAAGGAAGAAATTAATAATACCCATAACAGTAATGCCTCAAGCTGTGTGAAATCATAAATTATATGGCAACCACACACACGTGGAGAATACAGTGATCTTTGGTGCAAATATTTTTAGAAATGAGAAGAATGAAGTGTATGTCTTGTTTGGCAGCACATTAGCTAAGAAGCCAGCAAGGAGGCAAGGCAGTTGGCATTCTTCCTGGCAGCTCTGGGCTTTTTCCACAAGAGACACTATCCACAAGGACTTTTTATGTTCTATGTTCTCTTGTATTGGTCTGTGCTTCCTGCAGGCGTGGTTTTCTCCCCAAACCCATAAATATAACGGCAGCTTAATCGGCTTTCACCCAAATTTGCTCTAGTGAGTGAGTGAGTGTGTTCGTTTTTCTGTGTTGAAAGGAGATCAGACTGTAAGGTGCTTGAACTCTGTAAAACTCTGTAATGTAATAGTGTTTTTATTCCAACACAAATTCAGAAATAATCTAATAATTAGATCATTAAATAAAGAGGAACTCTTGTCAAACATTTGTTTCAGAAAACTACAGAAGGGTTAGAAAAACTCAAGTTTTTCATAGCGGTTTGTGCTCCTGCTGGAAAGACAGGAGGTCAGAGAGACAGAAAGTGATGGAGATTTTACTGCTGAAGACACTGAAAACACTTTTTGTATCATGGAGAAGAATTTTTCTTGGTAGATGAGTTTGTGTGTGTTCATGGCTGAAGACCCTGAAAGATTGAAAACAGAACTTAACCCCCTTTCACTAAAAATTACATCAGCATTCAGCTCTGCATGCTGAAATGAAAACATGTTACATTTAGGGCTGCAACAACTAATCAACTATAATTGATGGTGGAAAACGTTGTCAACGTTTTCCATCAGATTAGTTGACATTCGATTAGTTGGCCTGCTTGTGACTCCACACACACACACCGCAGGCCTTTTCTCCTCCCCGCCTCACGGATTCTCCCCCCGCCTTACCCAGCTCTGACAGACTCGGCGCTGCCTGCCCATCCACGATCGGCACATTGAACCAAGGAGCAGCAGGCGTGTGAGGACAGCAGCTGCCAACAGACAGGCCCGATCTCAGGGAAGAAATTTGCTTGGACTTGGAGACTGCACAGGTAAGACTGCCTGCACTTTCCCCCCACATAGTGCTGTATTAAAGTATTGTTGGGATAGTGGGATTTGTATTCCTCTATAGCTGATGGTACATTGCTCTCTATAATATACAGCTCAATGTACCATCAGCTATTGAGGAATACCAATCCCCGCAATACATTATACACTGTGTGGATAATATTGCTGGGATTTGTTGTATTCCTATATAGCTGCTGGTATTCTGCATTGCGCCGTGGTATAATGTATTATTGCTGGGATTTGTAGTCCTATAAAGCTGGTGGTATTTTGCATTGCGCTGTATAACCATTATACAGCGCAATGCAGAATACCATCAGCTATAGAGGAATACAACAAATCCCAGCAATAATACATTATACTATAATGTATTATTGCTGGGATCTGTTGCATTCCTCTACAACTGCTGGTATTCTGCATTGCACTGTATAATGTACTATTGCTGGGATTTGTTGCATTCCTCAACAGCTGGTGGTATTCTGCATTGCGCTGTATAATGTATTATTGCTGGGATTTGTTGTATTCCTCTATAACTGGTGGTATTCTGCATTGCGCCGCTGTATAATGTACTATATTGCACAGCACACTTTTAAAAAAAAAAAAAATTTCTTCCACCGATGAGCTTGCTCCCGTGATAGACTACAATCTCAATACAAACTAGTAGTCCATCACTGGAGCCTTTTTTTTTTTTTTAAATCTGATTAATCGAACTCAATCGGGTAACTAATCGATTTTGAAAATAATCGTTAGCTGCAGCCCTAGTTACATTGATTAGTTAAATAAACATTTTTCTTTAACTTACCATTACTGTTTTTCCCCTTCATGGTACTCTTAGGCATTAGTAATGTAGCCAATGCCTAAGAGATGGATCCTTGGAAGGTTACATCAGAAGAGCATTGCTGGGAAATCTCATCTGAAATCCCATGAGATCTCAGGGAAAGGCATTTTCCTCCCCTGAGAAAATGTGCATGGTCACATGACCTAGTCACATGTGCCAGAGTTGTAGGAAATAAAGAGAGATAAATGAATCTGCCCTTAGTAAAAATGGCCAGTGTGAGAAGAATGAGGAGGAAAAGAGAAATAAGGTATGCAAGGAATAAAAATCCTGCAATTAACTAGAAGTATGTGTTTGTAGATAGTCATTACTAAACATTTCTAAGAGGTGATTTTGTTGTCATTTTAAAGATAAGGGTAAAGTTCCTCTTTAAGAAGCCAGTGGGTGTTCAAACTAGCAATGTCCATCCAATATTACAATTTCAGATTGGGACAGACTTCTTGAAAAATAAATACAAAATATATTAAACCAGACACGGCTCAAGACAGATACAACTGCAATAATTATTCCAGTCATCAAACTGCACACAACCTCCAGTTATAAATCAGTTAAAATACCCTAGCAAAGTATCTCTTTGTGTCAGTTATGTTCAATATATTATTACAGGCTAAATGCATACTACAGAAAGATGTTAATCATATTGGAAAGCACTCTTACCTTCGGTTAATATTAGCTTGAGTAAGTTATTGATTTCCTGTTCTCCTGGGTTCAGAATATTTAACCCATAGCTGCAGAAATATATACATACACTAAGGATTATAGGACAATCTATTTGACATAACATGCATTCATTACAAGACACATACATTTCCATGTAAAACATTATTGGATGTCATCGACAGAATTGGTTAAGTGTCCTTGCTTCCTGTATAAATAAGCAGCCACTAGCATAAAACAAAGCTATTCTGATAACACAATATAAAATAAGTCTTCTGTATTGACGTTACACTGTCACAGAAGTTCTATACTCAACTTAACTCCTGCACTGGTCCCCAAAGACCCACCTGCTCAAGGATCCAGCACATGTCCTCTCCTGTACTAAATGACACCCCGCCTCATTTAATCCACTTCCTGTAAGCTTAGATTGTCAATGCTCTGCCCTTACCCTGGACTTACAGGAGCATGCTGTAAAGCGTGGTGCCATATCATTACGTCGCACCATACTCTGCAGGAGTAAGAAGAGTGTGAAGAAGATACCGGAGGTGCCACATGGCTGAACAACTTGGAAAAAATGTATATTTTTTTTTTTAAGGGTTCGGGGTACCTCATTTTTTGGTTCAGATTTTTGTTTAACCCAACCAGCAGCTGAATGGTGCTTTAAGAGCTTCAACAAAGCTGAGTGAAAGCTTGCTGTACACACTGCTGTTACACAAGCTTTCAAAGCCTGACTAAACAAGGCCTTAAAAAGGCAAGTCCACCCAAAACTGACACATTAGAGGAACTTTTACTCATTCTACTATATGCTTACCCTACCTCAGATCTGTAAAGATCCAAGTTTTGGCTTTTTGGTAGATCACAACAATTGAGTACATACAAGTTAATAAAATCAAGAATGACAACAGAACTGATAATAAACAAAGACTATAAAATAAAACTAAGATTACAGTCTATGCAGCACAAAAAACTAACCTGATTGCCAGACAGACCTCCTTCTGGATTTCCGGGCAGATTTGGTCTTTTGGTGCCATAAGCAGCTGCCATAGTAATAAACCGGCCCTGCGGATGGTCTCTCTGTTCCTCTCCGTTTGAGGGTTCAGGAAAAACTTAAACACAACCTGTAAAAAGAGCATACCCATAGTCAATTGATCAACTCTTAAAACAAAAATATAATACATAAGCCAAATTCCTTGGTAGGTTGTTAAAGAAGAACTCCAGGAAGAAATATTCGTAAACCCTTGCAGTGGGGCTACCCCCGCACTGCAAGGTTTAAGTTCTCATTTTTGTCTAGGGATGAAAAAAAAAAAAAAAAAGATATACTCACCTGAACTGGCTGTTAGACCGGTCCCCTGTAGCTTCGCTCCCCCTCTGCTCCGGCAGCCTAAAGGTCCTGTGAGTCATAATATCCTATACAGTGTAAGAGGTAGCCCTATTGCAAGGCTTAGGAATATTTCTCCCCGGAGTTCTTATTAAAAGAAAAGTGGGCACATTTACTCCAAAACAAATGGAAAGTGGGGTACCATTTCAAAGTGAGGAGGTGCTGAAATCACCAGAAAACAATTAGCAAGCTGGAGAGCAGCTAGAATACTGCCCAGGGTTTGACAAGCCCGGGACCAGCAAGGTGCCTCAGTCACAGGGGATCAGAGGGAGGTCGGTACATGATCTCCCTCCGGTCCCCTATGTTGTATATTACATCACTGTGTTGTATATTACATCACTTCCGCATTCTTGTGTCAGAAGCTGGAGAGAAGCAGATGAAGCAGATCTCTGCTTCATCAGCTTCTTTTGGGGGGTCCTAGGTGACATTAGGGGTCTTGGAGACCCCTGATGTCTCCATAAAGAGGACCTGTCATATATTTTTCTATCCTATCACATAGGGGAGTTTTGTTATCCCCTGTATGTGATAGCAATAAAGAAGATGAGTAGGGAAAAAAAATTAAAGTCCCGAATAATTTTAGGGCCATAAATCACTGATAACACTAAACTGCTGAGCGGTAAAAACTTTTAAAGCGCCGCCTATAGCCAATTTTGGGTATAGTAGTTTTCTGCGATTTCGCAGGTGCGCGCAATTTTAAAGCTTGACATGTTTGGTGTCTATTTACCCGACGTGACCCCGTGTTTTATATTTTACCAAAAATTGGGGTGATAATAAATGTTTTATAATGTAATGTAAAGAAAAAAAATTCTCAAAATTTCCAGTAATTTTTCCTAAATATAGTAAAAAATAAAACCCACAGTTGTGATATAATACCACCAAAAGAAAGCTCTATCTATCCCCCAAAGAAAGGGTATATAATTCATTTCAGTACAGCGTTTGAATGACGGAATAATTGTCAAAGTATCGCAGCGCTGAATACTGAAAAATGGCCTGGCTAGGAAGGGGGTCTAAACACCTGGTCAGCAAGTGGTTAAGCACTTTCAGCAATAAAATCAGTAAAACTAGAATATATCCTGCATTTTACAAGGAAATGAAAGAAGAAAGTGATCAGGGGTTTTAGTTACTTGCTTAAGGCCAAGCCCGAAAGCCTACAAGAACATTTACCAGATCAAAGTTTACCTGAAATACCACAAGGATGCAACGGATGATACATTTATCCCCATTGACCATGGCTTTCTCCATGATGTCACATATGCTGTTCAGATGGTGCGATTCTATTGGATGCTGTTTACCCAGGAACGTTGTTATTGGTAAGCTATTGTTGTTAGCCAAGAGATTGAGCTGGTGAATACACATTGCTCCAACATGATGAAGTAGTTGGTTTATAACTTCATTGGTGGTGACAACATCCCCTGCAGAAGACACAGGAAAGATAAAATTATATAGATTAGGACATAGGCAAAAAGTCAACTACTAGGATTTCTTTCTTCCCTATACAACTATATTAGAACCTCACTAAGAAGCTTCAAACAGATGTTTCAGTATTGGGGTATAAATAAGGTTTCTCACCAGCAACAGGCAGTGTACAATCAATCAGTTTTTCCAACACTTTTTTGACCAATGGCTAATCCTACTCTTTAAAGTGCAAGTCAAACCAAAAACTTTTTTTTTTAGTTTTCCATGGAATATTTAGTAGCAAGGAAATGTCATGGATGGACTTATTGCACGGATGGCAACCTATCACGGTACCACGCTTGAATTCACTGAGCTCCGAGAGCGACCCATTCTTTCAGGGCCTGTTCACACGACGTCCGTTTTGTGTGCTGACCTGATCCGTACGCTCCTGCACTCAAAATGCATCCCAATGTATCCCTATGTGTTTTATGGGCTACAGTTCTCACGTGCGCAGTCCGTTCAGGTTACGACAGAAAAATACTGCATGTCACATTTTGTACGGTCAGGAAACGCAAACACGTCCAAAACGCGTCAAGAACGCACTGCAGCTAACATACTAACAGCCCCACTCCAGCAAAAAAAAAAATTTTTATTTTTTTTACTGGAACGCATCAAAAACGCGGCCAGTAGCCCCGCGTCTGCAGATCCAGACCTGATCAGGACCTGAAACTCATGTGATCAGGCCCTCACAAGTGTTTGTAAAAGCAATCTGCATGCCTAGGTGCTGGATTTTATACACCTGTGGCCATGGAGGTGATTGGAACACCTGAATCCAATAATCTGGAGGGGTGTCCCAACACTTCTGGCAGTATAGTGTATATGAAAAAAAACGAGTGTTTAATTATACTTTCAGGTTAACTGTTTGGAAATGGGGAAGACCGCTATTGTCATAAAACATACCATGCATAACACCTACATGTTGGTAAATTCCTACATAACTACTGACAATGTGACAAACTTTGTGCTCTGACCTACATAAGATCACCAATGTTCTGCTACTAAGGTCAGAAGAAACCATGTTATTCCTTATAACCTACATTTAAGGCACCAATTATGAAGCTGGCTCTCTAACAGCAGAAGCTTCTTGTTAAAAAAAAACAGTAGCAGCTCTAAATCTAGTCTAAAGCTGGGTATACGCTAAGATTTTCATACGAATGTTCATATAAAATATCTTGTCAGAACATTGGATAATGCCTTCAGAGACTTGACAAATGTCATTAAAAATGTTGCTTATTATTCGATCTTGAAAATGAATGTAGTTTCCTGAACGAAAATCACCTTCATTCACTGTTATAATTTTGTTCAATCATTTAGTTTTTTATTTGTCACTTTGGTTGAAGTCGATCATAGATTTGACGCTTATTATTACAAAAATCAAACCGTTTATACCCAGCTTTACATTGATATCAAGTTGTGCACAGAATCTCTCTAGGATGACCCACGCTGATCAACAATGCTGCCATTTACTGTATAGATCCCATAATTACCAGACTCCTCACATGTCAGAAATCATTGAGGAGCTTCTGCTATCCTGCATGATTACTGGATTACAATAAGCCTTCCAACTGGGTATGGTATGAGGCTAACAAATGCATACTGCTATGTTGGAATCCTTACATGCTACCTAACATAGGCGAATCATATGATGTCACCCACAGGGAATCTGAAATTATTTTGTTAGAAGGAACATTTCGTGACCTGTTGGCAGAACAGCGATCTACTAGTTAAGAGCCATGTGACTGATTCAGTGAGGAAATGTTGCTTTATAGGCACAAACTTCATCCTTCTAATGTGCCTCCGTTTTTTACAAAAGCTTGATGGTTAACATTGAAGTAAAACCTTGGGACATGTGACAACATGTATAAAAAAAATGTATACATGCATGAGGCATGTAGACATCAGACTCTTATTATTAGAGATGGCCATTGTGTTTATATAAAATGATGAGCTATTGCTCTTATCAGATTACTGCAGAACCTGCACAGGTTTTGCTTTTGTTTGTAAGCAGTTTTCTTTATGATATGAATACAGTAAACTCTCTGTTATCTGGTATTCAAACAGCCGGAACTCTCATCTAACTGGCACAACTGGTTGTTGTACCTTGTTATTTTATACCAGTTAGGATAATTGTCCGTAGTGCGAAATAACTGAAGAATAACACGTTAGCCTGGGAAGATAGTTTGAACACAAAACAGACTGACATTAAAAGCTCAAAATATAAAAGGCGCCCCTTAAGCTGATTATTGGGTTAGGAGACATAAGGTAGCATCAATCAGCACCTAAACTGTACCTTTTGGGTCCGCAATGATGTGAGTAACCCCTAATCTCTGACAAACCACATGGAAGGCCTGGTTCCCTGGATTACACCACTGATCAATGTAGTCATTGGAGCAGGTCCAGATCATGTTATTCATAGTATCATAGCAAGCACCTGCAAAATAAAAACACAAAATAACCAACTATGGCCAAAGGGATTTTTATTTATTGGGAGGACATGATTAAAATAACTCTCAGGTGGGACAAGCAGCGAGGGGATCTCACACTAGTAACACATACAGCATCGAAAACACTTTTTAGTAAATAGTGGAAGAGTTAATACATCAGGTTAATTTTTGTTGTTGTTGTCTATAATCCACTTAGGATTAGGGTATTTCCTCTCAGTTTCTGTCCCGGCTGGTGTGCGTCACCAGGACAGGAAGCAAAGGGGAAATCTTGCCAAAGGCAATCCAAACAGCAATAAAAACCTCCCAAAGGTTCCAACTAGTGCTTACTCCTAGCTCAAAACTAAGAATAAAAGGTTTCGCCTGTTGCGATTAAACACAGAAGACAATTCTGTCATTCATTGCAGCTACAATAGAAATAGCATGAAAAACCTTAGCTTATGCAAGTCTTACCAAGTCCAGTTACTAGTGCTCCACGTCCAAGAGAGCTGCCAGCAGCATCGATGAGGTCGGCTCTGTTTGTGAACTGCCCATCAGAAATGTTAAACACCAGACTGGAAGCAAGGACTACAACAGAGATGATGTGATTTAGCCCATAGGAACAACTGAGAGCACATCTTAAGTCATGCATTATGTTCAGATCCCCACAAGAATATAGTTTGGTCATAACGATAACATGTGTGAAGACCCATTCATAGACCCAAAATGCAGGCTTATAAACATGATCGACAATATGGATGAGGCACAACATTTTCTTTAGTGTATTTTTTAAGGTTCAACTCCTAAGTTTAGCGCCACTTTAAAGAATAGCTATATGGGAAAATGAGCAGGGAGGAATCTGGGAAAACTTGGAAGAAAAATCAGTAAAAAGATCAATAGATTGGATTGACCTAGGTCTCAAATACAACAGACGGAAGGCTGTTCTCTACAGCAATTAGATTCCGCGTGTTATTTTTACAGTGTTGTATTTCAAAAGGCACAGAAATTTAACCCTAAACATTTTTCAAAACATTCAAATAAGTACTTTATTCCAATTAAAAGGAAGGCTAACATGAGGAGCTACTGTATGTTATTACTAAAAGCAACCAATTAACAACTAAAGTGATATTAACCACTTGCCATCCGGGCCATTTTCCTACTATTTGCGCACACATGATAAAATAACAATTTTTGGCTAGAAAACAGCTCCAGACCCCCAACAATGATATATTTTCTGAAAGCAGAGGCCCTGTTGAATAACAAAATGCTAGGTGCAATTTTTTATGTTGCACGTTTTTTGCGCGTTTATCAAACCCGTATTTGTAGGAAAAAATAAAAACTAAATTAAAATTTAGTGCACAGAAACATAATATAATACCCATTTTTTGGTAAAATATGAAAGACGGCGTCACGTCGGGTAAATAGATACCAAACATGTCAAGCCTTAAAATTGCATTTGCCTGTGAAGCCGCAAAAAAAGTAAATACCCCAAATTTCCCATAGGGAACATTTTAAACGTGTTTACCGCTCATCAGTTAGTGCTAACAGTCATTGACAGTGCTAGAATTATTGCTCTCGCTCCGACGTTCGCGGCGATATGCAACATGTGTAGCGCAATTGTCGTTTTCGCACGTAGGCGCACCGACGCATGTTTGCTTGTATGTGGGTGCA